AGAGGTACCTCCGTATATTCATTCAGTTGCTGAGCCTACTCCAAATGCTCCTATCGAGGTACCCACTTCTCCTATTATTACTTCCATAGCTCCTATTCCCACAGCTACTACTGATGTACCCCCTGAGCCGACGCATATGAGTTCTCCACCATTGAAGACACACACAGATGGTACTCAATCAGCGCAGGGATCAGGTACCGAGACAATTTCTCAAACCACTCTTTCACAGGGGTTGTTGGCTGAGATCAGCTCAGAGCGACATGGTGTCAAGCATATGTTGATTGATCACTTTAAGAAGGACCATGGAATGAAAGTTGGATCTACCATGAGATTTGCTATTGAGGACTTGGTTTTTAAGCTCTTTGGAGAGGGACCTTCTGTGAGTAAGACTCCTACGCAGACACCTTCACCTAGTCCTTCTATCACAGCTCCTACACACAATAAGGTGAAAGAACATATACAGAGAGACATGGATGGCATGGGCCTTGGAAACTGCATGCAAAATGCAGAGGACGATGTCCCTACAGCAAGCAGGTCAATCTCCCATGATTCAGATGTCGTAGCACAGAACACCATGAGATTAGACGCACCTACGACTAGTACAATGAGATCAGATGCACCCGCTTTTCGCCCGACATTCAGTGCACCACCATCTGAATAGTTCTTATCACCAAAGCAGGCTCCTACACGCAGGCGAGACCCCTCTCCAACGAGTGAGCCAGACATCGCAGACTACTATGATCCGGAAATGTTTCAAACCAGACGCATGACTCGATCAATGTCTATGTACTGCCACCCGAAGATTTACCCTCGGGAATACCCTTGAGTACCTTTCATTAGTTTTTGTTCGTGTCTTGTTTAGTGTGATTGCATTTCATCTTCAAATATTTGTTACAATTTACATTTGCTGGAGGTCAGGTCCATGCCCCCCTCCTCTATTTGTTTTCCCGCTTTTCATTATATAAAATAAATCACACTAGTGGTATTTGCTTAAAAAAAAAAACCCTAAACCCTAAACCCTAAACCCTAAACCAAAAAAACCATTCCCAACCCTTACATTTTCTCTCTAGAGATAGGTGATTTTTGGAGATTTCTAGTCGCCCAAAATGGAACCCCATCCGGCTGCATTCCGGCCACCATGGCCACCGGATCCGACCACCAATAGAACCACGTCACTCCCCTCTATAACCTACACCCAACCGCCGGCAATAAACTCGTCGGAATCTGATGAAAATCAAGCCCAAAACCCGAATCTGCCGCAATGTTTCTCTGTCGAAAATCACTGTTCCGGTGATACCCACGCCGGCGCACCACTGCCGGTCGATAGATCTCTTCCAGATGATCACAACCATGGTCGCCGTTCATCATTTGGAGCCTCCAATCGGCCGGAATTGCATCAGAAAGTTCCGCCTGAGCTGCCTGTCGAATTTCAATTTTTCGACGTCTCCGGTGGGACCCACGGTCGCGGACCACCGTCGGTCGGTAGCCCTCCTCCAGACGATCACAACCATGGTCCCCACTCACCATTTGGAGCTCCCAATCGACCGAAATTGCACCTGGAAGGTCCGCCTGCGCTGCCTGCCGAATCGCTGCCTCCCTTTCAATTTTTCGGCGCCACCAGTGGGACCCACAGTGGCGGACCACCCAATTTCTACTCCTCTCATCATGGGCAACATCCACATCATATGGGTCTTCATCAATTTTACCCCAATCTCGCAAATCGAACGGATTCAATCCATCAAGGTCAAAAGTCCGATTCTCTCTTAATTGACCCCACAAATGTGTTCGATTCTGCAATTAAATGTGGGGTAAATGAAATTCAAGCCCCAAATACTCTGGGTAATGTTCCAATTGCTGAGATTACATCATTAGTTTGCCGAATCTTGGAATCAAACGGTGTTCTTCACACCTCTAGCGCTGCTGGTCAGATTTCTTCCATTTCTGAGCATTATTTGAGAAAATTGACACCTCCAATGAACTCAGAAGGTCCAAAAACATCAGAAGGGACTATCAATTCGACCGAAAATATTACATTGGATTTCGTGCCAAAATGCACACAAACCGAGGCAGTTGGTACTGCTGTTTCTGGGTAGAATTCTATATTTTTGACACTGCCATCATCTCCAGAGCATATGAAAACCTTCGGTGAGACCATTGCTCCGGCTAAAAATGACGGGAAATCTGCATTGGGAAACGTGTCAAGTGGCACACATATCGAGGCAAATCCTTCTAATGTTTTTGGACCTCCTTTGATCCCAGGAACTGCACCACTGGCTCCAAATCATGGAAAAACTCCAAGGATCAACACTTTACCGCCTAGTACATCCCAAACTGCGCGTACCATAAACGCGCGAGTCCCTCCTGCACGTAAGCACCCCCCACCCCCACGTGCAGCACCACGAGCCACTGCAACTTCCACAACTGCTCATTCTGGTCCAAAATCTTATGCTGCAGCAGTTGGTAATGTGCCAGTAGTTTCTCAAGCAGAGAGGAGTCAAAAGAAGTCCTTTGCTCAAAGTCTTCGAGCATCACAAGAATCTACTGACCACAAGCTCATTTCTAGGGACCCTTTCATCCATCATGGTGAACTTGCAGTTCTATTCACAGAGGCAGATGAAGAAGTCTTGGCTGAGCCATACAAGTTTACTCTTGTTGGCAAATTTGTGCACCGGAGGCCATCTATGCTTAAGGTACATGAAAACTTTTCTCGCTTTGGTTTTTGTGGTGATTATACTATTGGTCTAATTGATGCCACACACATTTTGATTCACTTGGCGCACGAGGATGACTATGCACGGTTATTCCTCAAACCACTGTGGTATATTGATGGTTCCCCTATGAGAGTCTTCAAATGGACTCCAAGCTTTAGTCCACTGCAAGAGACCCCAATTGCTCCAGTCTGGGTATCCTTTCCACTTCTACCTATTCACTTTCGGGCTAAGAGCAGTTTGTATGCTATTGCTAAAGCTATTGGCCTTCCGTTACGTATTGATGAGGCAACATCTGATCTTCGCCGCCCTAGTGAGGCTAGAGTATGTGTGGAGGTTAATTTGGACTACGATCTCCCTGACAGAGTTTGGATTGAGAGGGAAAAGATCGGTGGCTATTGGCAACAGGTTATATATGACCAGAAGCCAGAATTTTGTTACAAATGCAGACATTTTGGGCACTTAGAAGTTCAGTGTAAACTTGGCATAAGACCAGCACCACCTCCTGTTGTTGAGCCTATCCCTAAACCTATTATCCCTGCTAAGGATAAGGACAAGGGAAAGGCAATTCAGGGTGAGCCACGTCAGAGGTGGACCCCAGTTCGCAGAGAGCAGAAGAAACAGCAGGCTAGCACATCAGGTGCACATGTTTCCCAAGCAGATCAACCTATTGTAGCCCAGTCAATTGCATCCATAGTAGACACTGCTTCAGTTAATCCTCCAAGAGTGCAGTCAGTAGCTCCAGACAATATTGCTCCTTTGAGTGCCATTACACCAGCCTTGGCTCCATCACAGCCTGTTATTCATGTTCACAGTGATTACACTGACCCCTTGGCTCACGACATGTCTCGGCGAACACATGATTCAGAGGCTACAGATAGAGTTATCAGACAGCTTCCCGGTCCTACACCTGGCCGTACTGGTAATCCTGCCTCCAGCTCTCCACTTGTTTGTCAACAGAACATTGAAGCTTCTATTCCTTCAGTAGAATCTGATCAGTCAGATACTGAAGCTACATCACAGATTGAGGTCCATCAGCAGGGTGTGTTCCGTAGGTCTTCTGCTGAGGATTTACTGGGTATGGCTGGTAGATCAGAGGATGACGGTTTTGTCCGAGTCACAAGAAAGAAACACCCACGTGCTACTGATACTCCACATCCGAGCAGACGGATCACCAGGAGTCAGTCACATGATACCTCTTCACATTCTCCATCCCTATGAGTGCCATCATTTGGAATGTGAGAGGTGTAGCTAGTGTAGCTACTCGTCGGCGCCTGAAGAAACTTATACAGCTTCATCAGGTTTATCTGTTAGTTTTACTGGAGCCCTTTGTTCTACAACACAGCTTTGCATATATTCGACGTTACCTGCGCTTCGATACGGGAGCTCAGAATGAATCGAATAAGATTTGGTTTTTCTGGAACTCGGGGACTAATGTTACTATTATTGTTGATCACCCCCAGTTTCTTCACGTTAAAGTTGAGGACCCCAGACTAGCTCTTCCCATCTATTTTACTCCAGTTTACGCTTCTTGTGATGCTTCTGTCAGGAGGGATTTGTGGGCGGGTCTTCACCACATCTCCCTCGATATGGAGGACCCTTGGATAGTTGGGGGAGACTTTAACGTTATTACTCATGATGGAGAGCGCACAGGTCATAATACCCATGATCGAGGCACTACAGCTTTCTCTGATATGATGTTGGACAGTGGCTTAGAGGATGCAGGTTTCCTTGGGAATCGATACACTTGGACCAATGGGCGGGTCAGGAAGAGATTGGATAGAGTACTCATTAATTCTTCAGCTGCAGCATTTTGTCGACAGCTTACAGTGAAGCACTTGAACAGGACTTCATCTGATCACTCACCTTTACTACTTCAGTGGACTTCTGATGATGACTT